GCCCTTTGTTCCCCTCACTCCCACTCTTTTTTTTTTAAATTCTTGTCCTTTATTGGATAAGGGCTGAGAGAAGCAGACAGACCAGTTGGACATAGTAGATGGGCGTGCGAGGTCAAAGTGCTACCCGAAAGCCAGCCAACCCACACTCCCCTGAATGCTAATCCCCTTCAAACTGTGGGCATCGGATTCACACACAGCCTCTTCCAGGGATAAAAGAAGGGGTTCTTGTAAAGCCTCTTCTTTTCTTTTTTCTTTTTCTTTCTTTCTTTTTTTTTTTGAGACAGAGTCTTGCTCTGTCCCCCAGGCTGGAGTTCAGTGGCCGGATCTCGGTTTACTGCAACCTTCGCCTCCCAGATTCTCCTGCCTAAGCCTCCTGAGTAGCTGGGACTACAGGTGCCCACCACCACGCCCGGCTAATTTTTGTATTTTTAGTGGAGATGGGGTTTCACCATGTTAGCCAGGCTGGTCTTGAACTCCTGGCCTCAACTGATTTGCCCACCTGGACCTCCCAAAGTGATGGTGGGCGTGAGCCACTGCCATCCGGCAGCTTCTTGTTTTCTTCCCTCTACTATGGAGACAAGTTCTGGTTTTCCTAGGAGAACTAACTCTAGTCACAAACATCTCTTCAGTGATCAAGCATGGTGGAGTGGCAGAGTGAGTGTTCCGAAAGGATAAGAAGAACAGGAGTCTTTCCCAGGCCCCATTACAACCTCAGTACCTGTGAGTGGCATCCCCAGCCCAAACAGAAGTTGACAAAGAGGCACGTACCTGGTGAAAAAATACATATATTTAGAACTAGCCAGCTGGACTCAGTTTAGATGACCCCAATTTTGTTGGCAATATCCCAGTTTTGTTGGGTCAGCAACAAAGTTGATCCCAATTTTGTTGGCAATATCCAAAGCATTGTAATCAGGAGCCAGTGGAGCTTATGCCTTCTTCCTCCATCAGGCCTAATCAGGGCATTGACCTTGGCCACATCAATGTCATAGAGCTTCTTCACAGCCTGTTTGATCTGGTGCTTGATGGCTTTAACATCCACAGTGAACGCAAGTGTTTTGTTGTCTTCTATCTTCTTCATGGCAGACTCAGTGGGCAGAGGAAACTTGGTGATAGCATAGTGGTCAAGCTTGTTTCTCCTGGGGACGGTCTTCCGAGGATATTTGGGCTGTCTCCTGAGTCGCAGTGTCTTGGGCTGTGGGAAGGTGGTGACATACAGACCTTTTTCTTTGTGGCTGTGGACACCTTGCAACACTGCCTTCTTGGCCTTCAAAGCCTTCGCTTTGACTTTGGCTTTAGGAGGGGCAGGAGCTTCCTTCTTATCTTTTTGTGCCATCTTGTGGAAAGGGCACTCCCATTCTTTATTGTGAAAAAAATCCAAATATACAGGTAATAGATATGCCTTTTTGTAGTACTATTTGAGTAAGTTGCAGACATCAAAATGCTTCACCCTAAATAATTCAGCCTATCTCTCCTAAGAATGAGGACATTTGCTTCATAACCACAGTATCATTCCACCTATGAAAGCATCAATTCTCCAATATCACTTAATAATCTGTTTTCAAGTTTCCATGATGTACAATCATAGAATGTCTATAACAGCTGTTTTTTTCTGAGCTAGGATACTACCTACGCTAGTGTGTTGCATTTATGTATTATATTTAAATAAGAAGCAATCTAAAGTATTCACTCGCTATTTTCTATGCATATCATACAGATATTATAAAGAGACAGATATTTACAGGATGTCTTTCATTGAGAGCTGGTGCTTTAGAAAAGCATATTTCTGTGTACACCAGAAAAGTCTAGGAGGAATGTCTTTTAATACAACATTGACAGTATAATTGAAGCTGTATTAATTAAACAGTAACATTTGTACTTTGTTAACTCCTGGAATACTACATCAACTTTATGGATTATGTTGGAATCTCTGCTCAACATGACTTCTAAAGTGTAATTGGTTGGGTTTTTTCTAGATAATGGAAAGAAGCTGTTTAGTATAATAATTTATATCACTCCAGGCAAAACCTCTAGCTTGCCTTGCTTCACTTTACAAAACAAAATGAACATTGCACCCTAAGCATTTTACTCATGGTTTAATTTTAGATCCTGGCCTGCTGAACTGGGCTTTATTTGTCCTTCCCTTTTATGCCACCCCTAGGAAGTCAGACATTCAGAAAATAATAACTATTTGTCTTCTAAGTTGTTACTTAATGTTTACATAAGAAGCAATTTAAAATATTCCCTTGCTAATTTTTGTACATCTCATTGACTTTCTTCCTTACCTGTATTGTTCATTAATTCTGTCAAGAAGAGGGACAGATTTACACAATTCCCTAAAAGTGACTAGTGGCCAATGTAATTTTTTTCTTGGAGACTAGTACTGTATTAAATAGGATTATTTTAACATTTCATAAAGTATCAGGTGCTACTTAAATTACTTCTGGGAAACCACATTTAAAACAATTTTAGCATTGTTTTAAGGTAAGTTCTGTAATCAGTACCATCGTTTTTTCTTCTAGCTCTAGTTTTAAAAGCACAGAGGACTAGAGGACTCATTACTAGAGTATTTTTAATTCAGTGTATATTTATAGTGGCACCTGTGGAATTCAGTTGTGATATTAAGTAATTTGAAATCTAAGCTGTTGGAACTCCAAATTATTTTGAGCCTTAAAAGAATGTGATTATGGGGCCTGAAAAGCAGCTATATCCTAGGCAGCTATAACCAGGCAGCTGTAAACTTTGTTTCTCTGATTATAGACCTTCTTTCTTACCTGTATTGGTTTGTAAAATGTTGTAAATGACTGAAGAGTGTCAGGGAAAACCTCTTCCCTCTCTATTGTTAATCTTCATTATAGATTAGCCTCCCTCTTACCTTTCTCAGGCAAAGACTTAATGACTATCTCATTATCTTAAGATGAAATGTTAAATACACTCTTTTAAATTGGAAACGAAAATCCTCTATAAAGAAAACAAGCTGTATGGAAAAGAAAACAAATGAATTAATGTGTTGTAATTCTCAAACCAGCCTTGTATAGAAAAATGTTGTAATACTGTTAAATTTCTTTGTCGTCTTCCTATAAAAGCAAGAACTTAATTTTAACTTCAGAGCACTGACCCCGTTTCTCTGGAGTCTGCATGAGCTGGAATGGCTATTAACCAGCTTTTCGCTTGAATAAACTCTTTAGAACACGATTCTGACCCTTTTCATTATTTCAGGTTGACACATCTAAATGCTGCATTCACTCCCAGTCAAATCAAAAATTGTTTTCCTTATCATTAAGAATCTATAGATAACTACAAACAGCAGTAGATCTTGGGCAGCTAAATTCTTTTTTTTTTTTTCCTTGAGATGGAGTCTCTCTGCTCTCAGTCACTCTGTCACCCAGGCTGGAGTGCAGTGGTGCGATCTCAGCTCACTGCAACCTCCACCTCCCTGGTTCAAACAATTCCCCTGCCTCAGCCTCCCAAGTAGCTGGAATTACAGGCGCATGCCACCACGCCCGGCTAATTTTTTTTTTTTTTTTTTTTTGCATTCTTAGTAGAGACGGGATTTCACCATTTTGGCCAGACTGGTCTCGAACTCCCGACCTCAGGCAATCTACCCACCTTGGCCTCCCAAAGTGCTGGGATTTTACAGGCATGAGCCACTGCACTTGGCCTGGACAGTAATTTAACTGCTCTGCTGT